CACCAGCACTGGTGGTTGTTTAATGTGGGTTACTGGGGTGCTGCCTCTGTTTAATTATCCAGAGAAGAAAAGTGACCAAAACATGTTAAATATATGTGAATTATATGTTAGGATGTACCATTAATGAAACATTAATCACAATCGCAATTCTGGCCTTCCACAATTAAATAAATGTGATCAATGTGATGTTGATTCTCCACTCATAGAAAAATCAGATAAAAACCACTTGGTTTCACTTGGATAAATGTGGAGCTTATTTCACTCTTTCAAACTAAGTTTAGGTCTGATACCCTTATTAGCTGCTGTGCTGCAGCAACTGGGTGGAGACTAGAAGCTTTTTTGTGCAGAGCTGCCTATGTAGTGTCTATTGTAGCCAGCATGAGAGGCGTTTCCAAAACATCTGAAAATTGAAGCAGTTTGAATAAAATGTTACTTATATTCTGCCTCTAGGAAATGCACTGAAATCAAGTGGAAAACCTTGATATCAGTTCTATTTTGATGCCAAGATTTGCACATTAGCAGGAATGTAAATACATAAATATGAAAGTGCAATAAAAATATTGTGCCTCTTAAATCAATTAGCAATCACATTGTACTTTTATTGATAGAACTTATTTTCCACCTGATTTTTTAAATTTTTAATTATTTTTTTTTTTTAACAATTTTACAGTTCCTTAGTGATATTCCATCAATATCGCTCAAGTTTACAACAGTGGTTGTATTTTTGGAAAAGTGTGATAATGCACATTTATTCCAATGTATATAGGCGTTGGTGGAAACATTTCTTAAATATTCACTCGTGATTGCGAGGGTTGTTGTGCAGCAAAAACTCAAGAAGCAAAAAAAAAGGAATCTGATACTCAGAGTAAAAAGTTCGCTATATGTGTGAAACACACTTTATCTGCAAACAAAGAGATAGTCCAAAACAGCTGGAAGTCTCGCTGCGTCCCAGACACATTATTTAATCATATTTAATGTGCCTTATCTGGAACTATTTTAGGGAGAGAATTGATACCCTTAATTGCATGACTGTACAGAGGCTGACGGATAGTTGAATGTCACTATTGTGCCTGATTGCACCGAGACAAGATGAGTAAAATTGGGGGGAGGGGGGAATCAGTGAATGCCTCGGTGTTGACTGGGAATTCTTCCATGGTCACAGTCTTAGTGCTGAAATGGACAGATGCAAATGGACGGCAGCGAGAGCAGCCGTGTTGTATGAATAAGAAACAGGAAAAAAGTTGAGAGAAAAATATCCAAGGTCTTAGATGAGTCTAAAAAGATGCAGAACTTCTCCCTCTTTAGGGGTTTTCCCCGAGCTTGCTGAAAAAAAAAAAAATCCCCCACTCTCGTGGTTTGAAATGCAAAGTTAACAGTTTTACTCAGCCCCCCCAACCCCAAGGCTTGTATAGTCTCTCCTAATCTTTTTTAATGTGTCAAAAGGCTTTCTTGAGAGTCTCTGTGAAATTTCACACTTAAGTTGTTTGCGAAGTCAGTCTGAATTACGGTGTAGAGTGAGGGTTAACTTCTCTGAAGGGGTTAGGGAAAACTTTTTAAAACTGTATGTGTTTATGTATGGAGCTGGTGTTAGAGACGCAGCAAGCATTCGGACTGATGCTGCATGTATGTCTGGACTTGAAGATGTGGAACTGCTTGACATGAGTCAGATCATACAAATAGACATGAAAGAATCAGTTGCGATGTAATGTGATTTTAGGTGTGAGTGTATACCAGTGTTTTCATCAACACTGACTCCATTTAGCTGTGATGATTGTGATGATGTGAGAATGTATTATTTAAATGTCTTGTTTTGAAAACCTAACAAAAGCAAGCTTAATAATTTTAATGTTGGATATGTCGAATTTTGTCTACAGAACGAAACAGTGGAAGATTTTAAATATGATTTTACGTACTGTGACATAATCTGTATATATTTGTGTGTATGTATATATTCTTTTTATATTGCATATCATTCAGCCCTAGTTTCGTGTGATAACAACAGCTCAAATTATGTTAAAGTTATTCAAGTTTCCTGTTTAATGAGACACATTGATTCTTGTTAAACAGGATAAAACAGTGATTAAAAAAAAAATGAATGACTTGGTATATAGTTATAACAAGGAAAATAACAACATGTGAACATTATGCTATTTAAACAAGACTTTAAAACTTACAGGACCAAGCAAAAACTGCTGCTTGGTCTTGGTGCTCATTCAATAGAACACACAGGTCTTATACAGTCCTGGGCTGTCGGAGCTGTTTTGACAGCACGCAAAGGACTGTTTAAATATTAGACAACGATAGATATAATGTTTCGGTTCGTCTATGTACACCTCAGCCACAACATAAAAACCACTCACGGGGGAAGTGAATAGCGTTGGTCATCTCACCAGAATGCAATGTTCTACTGAGAACGTTGGGTTCTGACTTTCATGTTGATGCTACTTTGACAAGTAGCACCTACCTAAACATTGACTAAGCAATGGCGCTCTTTGATGGCAGTAGCCTCCCACAAGCACAGTGCCCCATTCCACACTGCTACAACTGCTTAGAACTGGCTTAAAGAAGAGCCTAGGGAGCTGACACAACCTCCAAACTCCCCAGATACCAGTCAAGCACCAAAAGAAGGCCAATCCACAGAGGATGCATCCTGCCACCCACCGTCCCAGTACCAGAGACCACAGAACTCCCCCGGAGGTCCCATGTCCACGGTCCAATGGGTCATTGCAGCTCTGGTGCCATAAACAGTAAAAAGTTGGTGGTTTTAATGTTGAGGCTGATCAATGGGAGTTAAAATAAATGGCAGCTTACACAAGAACATCTCAACTCTCCTAATTGAGACTGTACAGTACAGCTTTACTCATTCATGCTCAGAATAAATACTTTTCTTGAATGTGCCCAGTAATAGGTAATGTAATTCTTATCCCTCTTTATTAATCTCTTTACTTAGCGGACATGATAATATCTCTGACCGCCCTCATTAACATTGACAGGTCAAACACATTCAGTATCTGAAGACAGAGTGTAGCTAATATGAAAGTCTTTTCCACTGCACTGATGTTTTGGTTCAGATTTTGTGCTTTTGATTAGTTTCATCACCCTCAGAAAGGGGTGAATCCATTCTCTTAATGTAATTTGTGGAAAACGTACCATGACAGTGTAATTATTTTGAGGGGGCCAATTTGCATTTCCAGTGCTCTGCAAACTAAATGTTACTGTAGGTTCTAAGGCCTTAGAGATAAATTAATAATCTGCAGTATTTAAAACCCATGAAACATTTAAATTAAGTAATTTCACTTCCTAAAGGGCATAGTGGAGATGTTTCCATACATATGCAGACAGACACACTTTTTAAATAAACATCAGCGCTAATCACTGAGACAGAAATCAGAGCGAGAGCAGAAAATATTTTCTGGAGCTTTTAATGGTTCCTTAGGGGCTCCCCTCTGACTTAGATTAGATGGGATTTAGACAAAGTTGATGCATTTACCAAAACTTGGAATTCTTTTTATCTCAGTACATTATGAGGATCACAGTACTATATACTTTTCCCCTGATTGAATTACAACATAAGTGTTTTTTTTATTCAGTTTAAACAAGGATTTAGGAGGCAGTGTAGCAGTGCAGGAAAACATTGCTATTTGTGACATTTCTGTGCAGCAGGCTTTGATCAACTTTGAAGGGAAATCGATTGGAATTGCTGCTCTGCCCCATTTTAGAAGACATCTCATCAAACCGAGTTGCAAAGGGTCTAAAGACTACAAGTGTTCATTTTTGTTCCCCTAGTGCTGCAAATTTAGTAATTGACTCTGATTTTTGGCTTCAGGCAGTAACCTAATAAGGCCATCCAAGGTTAATGATAGACCCTTTTTAGACTGGCTGCACGTCTGACACCGATATGTAGTGGTGGTGAAAAACAATTATTACTTACATGAGAGACACTCGGGGCAGGAGTCCCTGACATCTGAGTGAAGCGTTGTTATTCTGGCTGTTATTAGCTGCTGTATTTTGTTACAGCGCGGCCTGTGCATCAGTTGTAGCCTTTGGACGTTAGATCAAAATGCCACAAACGTTCAGACAGTGAGAATCTCAGCAGTGGGGTTGTGGTGCTGCTTTACAGCCATCTCTTCCCAGGAACACCAGTGCCACAAATCTCAGTGATTTAACATCTTTCCCGTTCAAGCAGCTGGAGTCAGCACAAGTGTCATTTGCCATTGCCAATCTGCTGTCATGGCGTCCTCTGCCAAACAATTTATCCCTTCCCCTTGTGCTTTATTAGCCATAGATTATGGGTGGTCGTGGACAGTTCAGAGCCTCTGCTGTCGAGGTAGCCTTGTAATTGACTGTGGGGAGGCAGGGCGGGTAATCATTTGAGCGTAAACCACACTATCAAGAAAATGCTGGTGAATACATCTTTTGTATTTCTGCCACTGAGCAGGATCTTATTTACCCACGTTTTTAGCTCATCTTTTTGCTCTTACTTGCCAGTAACAGTCCTTTTAGCCATTCAAACACAGTGAATCTAGAGATAGTGGTGTCTGATTGGTCTGTCGGTTTGCGTCTTGGGCATCTGTCACTTTGGTAAAGACTGAAATATTTCCTCACAGCCAGCGTTTTTCTTGGCTCAAGTTGATCCTTTGGGAGGCGACTGCACACAACATTGAGTTCATTGGTCCATGTACAGTAAATGCAACTAGTCTATGTTACCTTATTTGACACAACCTGTCCATTTTCTTATTTATGACCATTTGATGAACAAAAATGCTTCAGCAAATATAGTTCCAATTACCAACATTGGTTAATTAGATCTTTTTTAAAAACAGAATTTTTTCTTTTATGCTCACTTGTTATTATTTTGACTTTTATCTATTTTTCTCTGGTACTGGTGAAAACAAACCTCTCTGGGGAGCATCTAAAACCTCGCCCAAAATATCACTGAGCAGCAGTGAAATTAGGTTGTTATCTTTAACTGGGAAACATTTTTCCGACTTATTTTTCAGAATTCTGGATCCTCGGCAGGCTCCACCCCCAACGCTCCAGTGACTGGTTACAAGCGTATGGTCATTCCAACTCAACCACCTCTGACTGCCACCAAGAAGTCTACACCCAAACCTCAGGCTCCTGGGGGAGTCTCGTCTATTCCGCCATCTTCTGCCAGTCCAGCGGCCAAGCCTCAAAGCCACATGGCTCCTCAGCCGGTTCCGGCCTCCTACGCTACAGCATCAACCCCAAGCCAGCCCACCTTCAATGTCCAGGTGAGGTCGGCCCAACCCGGCCCCCAGCATCAAGCCCCGGCTGGGCACCACTTTGGCCAGCAGCCTATTCGGAGCCCTGCACAGGTGCAGTACATGCCTGCTCAGCCCAAAGGCCCTGACTTTGCTTATGGACCGCCACAGCCTGGTTTCTCCCCGATGACACAGGGAGGATATCAAGACCAGCACCATCCAGGAGGACTCCAAGTAGGTGGAATGAACTCCAGAAGAGCTGAGCCAATCCCGGCCCAAGCATACCAGCCTTCAGGCCCGAAGAAGACCTACATCACAGATGTGCCACCAAGCTTGACCCCATATAGTTCTGGACCAGCTGTTCCACCAAAGGTAAGAACTACTTGTATCACGCAGCACCAAACTGAAGCAGTTGCCATTATTGTTAGATATTGTATAAGTAATAGGTTTTCTGAGAAAGACAGATTTCTCCCTGGTTGTTGCCATCCATCCTTCCACTCTTTTCTCCATTTTCTGCCACCTTTCATGGTCTGAATTGGTGGCATTAAGCTAAGCAGTAGCCCAGCAGTCCATCATCTCCCAGCTCCTTCTTGAGAATCCTCCGGCTTTTCCAGCCCAGCAGGGATATTTAATCCCTCCAGTGTGTTCTAGGTTTTTCCCTGGAGCTTCCTCTCAGTTAGATATCCCTGGAATACCTCCACAGGGAGGAGTCTTGGAGACGTCCTGATTGGACGTTTGAACCACCTCAACTGGCTCTTGTCAAAAGCATGGCAGCCCTTCTTCAAACCTCTCTGGGATATATGAACTCTGCTTATCTCAAAGGCAAAAAAAAAAAAGTTTGGTTACATATATATCCAAAACTCTGTCCTTTTAGTCACTACTCATAATTGATGTGTAGGCTTTAAAAGTGCAGAATCGGAAGTAAATCAAGGTTTTATCTGATGATGATATCATGATGATTCACTTCATCATGCAGTCCCCCTTTTTGATGTCCTTTTCCATTTTATTGTCACGAATATGATCCACACTTGTTTAAACTGCTTTTCTTCAGGTCAGCTGCTTAGTGACAGAACCTCTGCTTTAGATGAAGTGCTCACCCACGTATGCTGAACAGTGTAGGTCAGAGCATGACAGAGTCTGAAAAGCACAGCCTGGTCTCATATTCTCTCCGTAGCATCTTTCTAGTCATGTTATACATTCTTTAATAAAGCAGAAAATCTTGGGAGCACAAGGGTGCAACTGTGTGTTCAAGATTGTGAGTGTGTCACTGTAGTGTTTACCATTGCTGTATGCTCGTTTGTGTGTATGTTTGTATGTATGTGTACAGTATGCATACATTTATGCAGCATCAGATGGCAATACAGTAGGGAGCTGCTTGCCATCTTTCATTGAAATGCTCTGAATAAACAGTTGTTTTAACCTTTATGAATTTTTGAAAGAGCTGCTCTGTTGGGGGTTCACACCATCTGATTCCATTTGTCTCATAAAAGGCAGCTTATATTCAACAGTATACATCTACCAGCTATGGTATGTAAATCTAAGCTTCCAGTGGCTGCACTGCAATATTTATTTCCAATTTAACTGTGTACAGATGGAATGTAAAAGTATGACCATGCAGCTGCAAGCATGTACGTGGTGTCTTGTATATGGTCTTATTTTATCACTTGTCATTTAAGAAAAGAATATGTAAAAGTTTAAACATTTGACCTTTTGCTTAACAGCTGGCATGGATTTCTACATATGGTCAACTGATGTGTGAATGGGGTTGTAGTTTGTTTGGTTGTTTTGTTAGTCACAAAAAAGCAATAACACAAACAGAAGTATATAAAACTGAATTGGAGTTGTTATATGTTGGTTAGCTCCATTATTTGTTACAGGTTGTATTAAGAAAACAGGGTCATGACTTGCACATCGGATTTGTAGAAGCCAGATGTGGATGCTAGCACATCACAGTATAGGTAAAATTAGCAGTATTTGCCTTCCCCAGCCCCATCTGCTCATCCATGTCCTCAGTATTTTCATTTCTTGATTCATTCTCATTATACAGTACTTATGTTTATCAGAAAGAGAATTACTGTAAAAATCCCAACAGGGAGAATGGTGTGTAAACAGTTGCTGAAATATGGGAAAGTTGTACAGTTTCACAAGAATACAAGAGAGCACTGGGATGCCTGGAGTCTCGCAGCAACAGAGTGGATGACGTTAAACATGGTTGTAATGGGGGTGGAGGGAAAAATGTGGAGAGCATCCCAGATAGGATGTCCTATGTAGAGTGGACATAGACCACAGCTAACAGTTGTGTGGGCTCTAGAAATGTTCCTCCCACTCTTTTATTGCAACTCCCAGATCTATTCACGGCTACCTAAATTCTTGATGGTAACAGTTCGATCAGGAGGTATTCCTGTAGCGATGTCTATATGAAGCATATACACTAACCTCACAGAATCCCTTCAGTTCCTCACTAGGTCCATTCACACATCCATCTTACTGTCCAGTTATTGCAGATTGTCTGTGGTGATAGAAGGGAGATACAGCTCATGTGTCCTCATCATTGCCTCATTGCTTCCCTGCATTCTCTGTATTTCCTCCTGTGATTTCTGTTTGGATGTTTGCTCTTTTTGTTCTGGTCACCATGTAACAGCAGCACTACTAAACAAAGTGGCAACAACAGTGAAAAAAAAAAAAAATAAGAGCCTCCCAAACTGCATGTCCAGAGATGGCACAGCTCCAGCTTCCAGATTATCATCTGGGAAAGATGCTGCTTTTCTGGCCAGGACATGTAGCTTTAGCTTCAACCTGAGTATGCTGCTTTTACCTTCGTATTTAAGATCTCTTTTGACCATTTTCTTGTTTGAAATGGATTCCACTTGAAACATTAAAAGACTGCAAGAGAATTCATGGAGCTAACATTAGTGTAATTAACCACATGAATTCACTAGGAGATGAACTATGTTTGTCTACTTCTGTCAGAATTCAAGTACCAACTGTTTGAAAAATCACAGAATCTAAAGTGGTTCATGTGCCATTGTTTAAGAAGGTTTAATGACTGGCCAGTTAAACTGGATTGTCTTGTTATTCTTTACACCAACGACATTGACCATATCAACATTTCTGAACAGTTTTTGCATTTAAAAGTTGTTTAACAGCGTCACTGGTGTATGGTTAAATGCCACGACAAAAAAATAAATACTCCAAGACAAAAAGTCATGTCTAATAATCTAACAGAGAAAAGGAAAAAGAAGCAGACATGTACATGCAGTAAAAAGCACTACAAACACTGGATCCAGCCCCAGACCTTTTTATAGAACTGTACTTGACTGAGAAGAAATGTATAATACTGTCGTCCCTTAGAACAGAGCAGTCTATGCCACAGAGACAGCTATTCTAATCTCAATATATCCAGCCTTCGACAATCTCTGGAAAGTGGAAGGCCCTTGAGTTTTCTTTAATTCAAGGATTTTATGCTGGTTGAAAATACAAACTGGGCCTCCCAGCCTCTGGGAATAACTCATCAAGGACTGTACTTTACTAAATACAAATTAGCTTCAACATTGCAGCAAGTATCTTAAAAATAAGTCTAATTATATTTGTTCAAAACAAAAGTCTAGATTTTGCTTGAAAAGCTCGCTTTGGTCCCAGTATGATGCATTATTAAAAAACAAAAGGTGGCGTTTAATAGATTTGTGAGCATCTCTTTGATTTCAGATAAAAGCAAATCACTAATTTTACAGATATAGCCTGTACGCTGTGTATTTGTCTTTCTTTCCCAAGGATATAGTGGAGCAGGATAATAGACTCTGTGCAGCCCCCCACTCCCTGTACTCCTGCTTTATTTGAATGCTTTGAAACACATCAGGCAACCCAGTGCTCCATATGCAGACATTCATCCAAAGACTGTGCTGTAAATGACTTTGGTGTCACGCATCATGTTTGACCTGACTCTTGCCTAAAGTGTGTGCATCCAAACCTTAGCTCTAATCTGTCTTTATTTATGTGTGTGCAGTATAGCAGATCTTTAATGCCAAAACAGACCAGAGACACTATAAAAGCCAGATTAGAATGAAAGCAAAATCTGTCAACTTTCCCTTTATGATCATCACTCCGCATGACCCGATGTCGTGACATGTTCATAACCTTTTACAAATGGTGTTAAGTCTACTTAAAAGAATTGGGCTGTGCCTCTTTTAATCTGTTGTGCAGATAAACCAAAACATCGTCAATTAAAAAGAACTATTTACACATTTGTCACAATCATCTAAAGTGATCTCTAGTCACTGAGTTAATGGTGGTTTTATGTAATACCCGGCGCTTTCTCAGTAGGGGGTCTGTGACTTTGATTGAGGACTTTATTAAAGAGATCACTTCACATAAATGAGGGTATTCATAGAAGGTCAGTGTCATTAGAAGTCCAAGATGAACTCCTTGGATGAAATTCTATGATCCAGACTCATTCTGATTAGCTCACTGCTCTGCCCCCCGCCTCAACCCACCCCTCCCTCAGCCCGTTGATCCCCATACGTACCCTTACTCACACGTAAAGCGAAGGTGTTCTCAAATCAACACACTTCAAGGATGCTTAATTACCCAAATCCACCGGTGTTCTATTGTAGTCCAAAAAAATTAACAGATTTCATGGCTGCCGGTTAACATACCAATTTCCACGAGTCTCTCCGTCTTTCCCGAAATTGGAGAAAAGCTAAGCTGGATGATGACTTGTGTTATTGCTGAGCTTGAGTGACGTTTGACAGGGGAGGATTATTTTGAACTGCTCAATCCCTGCAGCCAGTTAAAACCCCCTCGAAGGTCAATGATGGTTTCAACTGTCAGACATGTTTAAATAACTTGACATTTTTCTGCCTTCCAGTTCTGGCCACTTTGCCTTTTGACCTGCACAACAACATTAGCGTATAGTGCCATCAGGAAAAACATCTTTAAACGTGTGGTGTGAACCCTTATTATTCTCTCAACACTGGGTGTGCAAAATGACAGCTAAAATCCCACCTCTGTATTTTTCTGGTGATTCCTGATTTTTATTTGATATATTTTTGCTTAACAAGTGCCTTAGAATGTTGTACAAACTCCAGTTAGTTCTTGTCTAATTGAACAGTTATCATAATGCAAAGTGCAACATGCTTTATGTGCAGATAAACCATCTGCTTGTCTGTGGAAAAAATACACTGAACAAAAATATAAACACCCCATGTCAAATATAAGAGTTTTATGAACATTTGGGTTACGCAATATATAGAGAAACTCAAAATATATTTTCAGTAATTACTGATCTTCATATCGACATTGATAACATCGTGGTATGGCCATTTGTAGCGGATTGACAGTCCTTTGAACATGATAGGGGTCAGGTTGAGGAAGTT